ATCCCTTCTCTTTTGTAGAATAGACTCTTGACAAGAGAAATGTAGCACCCGATGGACATTTAATGTGTGCTGCCTCTCCACTGACTCCATCAACTGGTCTTATGTGGGCCCAGCTCCAACCAACCAATTAGGATTGCACGCACAGTGCATAAACTTTCAGTTATGGGCATGAATAATGGCTAAAAGTGACTCTAAATTCAACAATGAAGGGAAAAAAACAGCCTCCTTCTTGCAACAGTTCCTTCTCAGCATTTACCTACCTACCAAGTTTTGTGTAGATAGACAATGTTTTATAAGAGATAATCAGTCAACAATGAAAAGCATAACTGACAAGGGAAAATTTCATCCAGAGCCCAATTTCTAAGGCTTTCATTTAAACCTTGTGAAAATAATTATAGTAACTACAAAGAAAACTCAAAGGGCATAAAAACTAGCAAGGTGTAAAATTTCACAGATTACCCACCTACTTTTGGAGAAATCCACCCCAGGAAATGATGCCTCATGTTAAAAGCATTTTAGAATGCAATTCTAATTAAGGAATCATTACCAGGGAGTTTAAGAATAAATTATAACAGGGATAACCACAAGACTCATGAAGGGGAGCACGGATCTTTCTTAATGCATGAAATAACTGGTTTATTTCACTTCCCATTTTGCACATTCAGGATTTTCCAAGTAACAAATTAAAATTAGCAGTTGGAAAGGACACAGACAGGTATTTAATATTTTTATCTACTTCCAAAATCATACATGCTTCTTATACTGATGCATCCGAATACAAAATGCCATTAACATACTGATTAGTGATATCAAACATATACAGTATTCTTAAAGAATCATATGAATTATATATAAAAATACAAGTAGCAAATGTCAAAAAATGTCAAGTTAAAGTTACAGTAGGATGATTATTTCTGAATATTTGCCATTACTGTAATATAAACAGAAACAGCAACAATAGTTTAGATGTAAGTGTGAACTTTTTAAGTTATTCTTTGTGTTTCTTGTTAAAAGTTTAAACAAAAACTTGGTTTTTGTTCCTGTTTGACAAACAGATTTGATTTCCCCCTCCCTCCCTCAAGAGTATGAATTAGTATTCTTTTATTATCTCTTTGCTTTCAGCAGAATTATTCATTTGTTACACAACTCTAGGAACAGATTTAGCTAATTGCTGCTGCTGAACCAGTGTAAAGGCACTATTACAGAAAATACTTAAGTAACTAAAACGATGTCAGTGGTTCCATTGACTGTGATGCTTTATGTTACACATATGCTTACCAAACATGTGCTTACACATGTACCTGTACTGAACCATAGCTTTAGAGCATTGGTTCCCAAACTGGGGGGCATGAAGAAATTCCAAGGGGGGCGCAAGGCTGCCCAGCGCTTGCGGTCCCAGCAGGGGAGGCTAGCCTCCGGCTCCTCCCCTCCTGTCCACCCTCTCCCGCAGCCATGCCGCTGCGCAGGCAGTACGGCTTGCACCAGCCCACCTCCCAGGCTTTCCAATAAGCCAGTCCTGCCACTCTGAGCGGCCTGGTAAGGGTGCGGGGAGCAGGGGGAGGAGAGGGAGGATAAGGGGCAGGAGGTCCCGGGGGGGGGGGCAGTTAGATGGGGAGGAGTTCCGGGGGTGCTGGTTAGGAGACAGAGAGCGGGGGGGTTGGATAGGGAGTGGGGTCCAGGGGGGCGCGGTGGGTCCTGGGAGGGGGCGATCAGGGGACAAGGGGCGGGGGGGCTGAATGGGGGGGGTCCCGGGAGGGGGCGGTCAGGGAACAAGGAGTGGGGGGGATTGAATAGGGAGTGGGGTCCTTGGGGGGGGCGGTTAGGGGACAAGGATCGGGGGTGGTTGGATGATAAAGGAGAGGTGGGGGGCGTGAGGGTTTCTCAAAAATGAAAAAGGGGCCGTGATGCCGAAAAGTTTGGAAACCACGGCTTTAGAGCATGCAAACTAAGACGTATTCAGTCCAGGTCCTACATTAACAAGTTGCTATTCTTTAGTTTCTTATTGCTGGAGAGCTGGGTTTCAAAAGTAGATAATTAGCAAATAATGACTTTCCCTTTTTAAGTTATAGCAAATTTTGGAGTCAAAACTAAAGAATCTCTTCTAATAAATTAAATATTCTGAACTGTTGACAGCCACAGAGTAGGATTTTACTCCAGAAAGGTAACAATTAAATACATGTATTTCAATTGGAAATTTTATATACAGAGTTTGCTACTGAAATAATGTGAAATACTTAATTGGGTGTCATACCAGACTAATGTGACAAATCTAATTAAATGCAATTAATCGTATACTCTGCTTTAATTCCCTTTTCCTCGGCTTAAACGTTTTAGTACTGTGCAACTACTTTACTATTGATTAGGAGAATTTGGGTCCAAGTACTATTTCACTTATGTCCATTTTGAGCAACAATATAATATGGTCTTTTGCTATTAAAATAATTACATCAGTGAAAACAATTTCCAGCATAAGTTTAACTGCCCGACTGACATGATCAGAAAGTAAAGGCAATCTACAGAACAGGAACAGCATGGATAGAGACAAGGCAGGTGTTAAGGGTATGAGACTGCCTAGAACAGCATACCTGAAGCAGCAGCAGATGTAAGTAATTTCCCTATCATGAATAAATGCATTTGTATAACTTGGCCACCATGGCTCTCGCTAACCAAGAGATTTATATGACAGAACTTTGTCTCAAACTGTCAAAATATAAAACATATGTCCTGTATAGTTCTTTGCTGGTAAGAGTCATTAGGTGTCTTGCATCATGAGTTACGAGTCTAATAGCATTCCAAGTCATGCAAGTCACTGAAGTATCAAAAAGGAGACAATTAGGAACCATAGCGATAGAAGCCTGCATCGTAAATAAGGCAATTACAGCCATAAAACTTCTATCCTTCTAACATCAAAATCGTTAGTACAATCAGCAAAGAATAAACTCAAAACAATTTCTTCGGGGCTACAATTTCTTCTTACTAATTCAAAGCTAGCAAAATGGAGTATAAAGCAAAATAAGCAAAATGGAGTACAATTTAGAGTATAGTGCAATTTACTTGAGACAATTTCTTCCCATTAGGCTTATGCTTACACCTAACGGGTTTGCTACTGTCATTTGTGAGAAGTCCAAGGCTTGAACCTCAGCCCATCTCAATCGGCAGAAGCATATACTGAGTGTTCCTTTTCTATGCACTGTGAAATAGGTAACTAGAACAAGGTAGGGCCTAGACTATGAGCAAAAAATCTGGGATTCAGAAAAAGGAGGAGTTTTTAAAGCTTATCACTGAAGAGCTTGTCTCTATGGACAGTATATGCCCTTCACCACAGAACACAAATGACTGCCAGATACGCTGCTTGATTTAAGTCAAGACTTCTCAAACATTTTCATAATGTATATTACATCTTAATAAAGACAGAATTTAATTGCATGGACCACTTTCTACTCCATCCAAAATCTGACATCTATTACAAGTAGATCCAACACTTTGAAACTGATTATTAGTGATGCAGAAGAAAGCTCAACACTCAAACTCTACAATCTATCCTGAAGGATGATCCCTCACTCTCACAGATTTTAGGAGACAGGCCAGTCCTCGCTTACAGACAGCCCCCACAACCTGAAGCAAATACTCACCAGCAACCACACAACAAAAACACTAACCCAGGAACCTATCCTTATAACAAAACCCGTTGCCAACTCTATCCACATATCTATTCAGCGAACACTATCATAGGACCTAATCACATCAGCCACACTATCAGAGGCTCATTCACCTGCACATCTACCAATGTGATATATGCCAGCATGTGCCAGCAATGCCTCTCTGCCATGTACACTGGCCAAACTGGACAGTCTCTATGCAAAAGAATAAATGGACACGAATCAGACGTCAAGAATTATAACGTTCAAAAACCAGTCGGAGAACACTTCAACCTCCCTGGTCACTCAATTACAGATCTAAAAGTCGCAACAGCATACCTGAAGCAGCAGCAGATGTAAGTAATGGATGAGTGGATGAGTCATTACACAAACTAAAAACTATTTCCCCCTACTGTTACTCACACCTTCTTGTCAATTGTTTGAAATGGGCCATCCTGATTATCACTACAAAAGTTTTTTTTCTCCTGCTGATAATAGCCCACCTTAATTGATTAGTCTCATTAGAGTTGGTAGGGCAACACCCATTTTTTTCATGTTCTCTGTGTGTGTGTGTGTGTATATATATATATATATATATATATATATCTTCCTACTGTATTTTCCACTGCATGCATCTGATGAAGTGGGCTTTAGCCCACAAAAGCTTATGCTCAAATAAATTTGTTAATCTCTAAGGTGGCACAAGTACTCTTCGTTCTTTTATCATTCTTGTTCATCTTCTAAATATTTTTTATATAATACAAGATGGAGTGGTATGAATGTTCTCTGGATGAGAGTTTGGGATGACCAGTTCGGATGATCACATTTTTCACAGCGGTAAAATTATGTAGGCAATCCCAAGCAAATGCTGATAAAACCTTTCTACCACATCATTCTGTATGGACAAAGAAAATCCATTTTACAGGATATGGTATCTTACACAGAGTTTTAGAGTTTTCTTTTAGTGTAAACATTCATTGTATTCCTAACCTTATAAAGTTTTCACTACAAGGGGCCAGATCCTCAACCGTAAAAAGCCTCTTGGGAAGGTGTAATTATGTTTTGTTCTTAAATGGTAGATGTTTGAAGCTGCTCAGAGGTTTGAAATATTAGGATAAGTTCCAAGGAGATGGATCAATGGGCAAAGGACAGGCAAAGCAATCAAAGACTCATGACAAATTAATTTAACCCCTGGCCAGGGCCGGCTCCAGGCACCAGCCTGGCAAGCAGGTGCTTGGGGCAGCCGCTCCGGAGAGGGGCGGCACGTCCAGGTATTCGGCGGCAATTCAGCGGACGGTCCCTCACTCCCGCTCAGAGCGAAGGACCTCCCGCCGAATTGCCGCCGCAGATCGCGATCGCAGCTTTTTTTTTTGGCTGCTTGGGGCAGCCAAAACCCTGGAGCCGGCCCTGCACATGGCTCTGCAGCTTCTGAAGTAACTGCTCATTTACTTGTGTCTTCAGGGCTGTTCATTCTGCAGAATCTACAAACAAGCGTGCTTTTTTGTTGTGTAAACTGGACTCAGGTTACAAAACCACTTTAAATAAGATACATAACAGATGTCCGATGATAAACTTTCATTCACTACATTTCTGGGCCATATTCAAATTAGTAAACTGAAGTTAAACAGTTTTGTTTCCCAAGACCATGGTCCTTCAAATTCTTCTACATCTTCCCTTTTTACAAATTTTCAAAAATGTGTTTTAAATTTTATCATTACATGTTGAGCTCCTGGATCTTAAAGTGGCTTTTAAATAATACTTTGCAAATCCTTAATCTAGATTCTCTAAGTAAAAATTGGCTTGTTTTTCCATAATAATAAAGCAGTGAGAATTAGAAGTCTATCTTCTCCATCTTACAAACTGATGACAGATCATAATTTATATGTATATTCTAGATTTCAATGCTCTTTTATTGCTGTTTCTGTCTACTGAGTAAATGCATTTTTTGAAACTTGGGTAAGTAAAGTATTTACATGCTAAACTAGGGTACTGGCCTACCAGGTAATAAGTGCATTCAGAGTTATCTAACAATTAGGCTGCCATTTTAACTTGCACTTCGAATTCTCTGACTATTATAGATTTAAATGGGTCCTTTTCATATTTACTTGAATGCACTTTGTTGGAAATCTGACATAAGAGAAAGTTATTAACTAAAAATAATTGTATGTTGTCTGATAGTAGCTATGAATCTGAAGTTATCTGTACCACTGTAACTAGACCTACAGTTACAGTTCAAAATTAACAAGATTGGGAAATTTATCACACAGCCAAATGTTATTTTAAAGCAGCAATGAGAAGTTCCTTGAACTTCTCTAAATCACACTTATTAATGACAAAAGCTTTATTTTTCTTCTTAAGAAGACCATTTATATCCATTACCATCATTCCTCTAGTTAGTGAGCCATTCAGCTCCACACTTACAGCAGCTTCTATGGCTTCTGTGACAAAGCTCTCGTCAATTGCAGCAGCCATAGCATAGGAATCACAAGACACAAATCCTGGAGTCCATAAGATTTTGCCTGTATTTTCGTGTTCTGACTTTATGAATTTTATACTGTGGGCAAATATTTTCTCTGTGAACTTAGCTTTTTTGGTGTCCTGATTAATCCACTCATGATAGAATTCCTGCAAACCAAAAGAATAATGTTGGCGATTAAAAAATGAAGAGAAACATTGGGATATAACTTCATCCCTCCTTTTGTGATTAAGTCAAGACTGCCCAGCATTAGAGCATGTACACAGCTTTAGATACAGTTATTTTTACATTCCAATTCAGGGAGCTCTGATTTAGGACACAGTCCTGTAATATGATCCATGTGGACATACCCCTGCACCCATGGACACTGAGTTTCACCAGATTTACCTTTAACATTAATTTACATTAAACATTTGGTGTCTTACCCAAGACAATGAATTGCGACATGTAAATTCCCATGTTGCAATATAAGTAGGGCAAGTGAACTCATTTAAGACAACATACGCAGCTTCTGGATCAGTTGCAAAATTGAATTCTCCACAGACTGTAACATTTCCTCTGGCTAACAAAAACAAACCAAAAAAGTAACCGTTCAGTATATTTGCTTATTTTCTTCAATCATTTTACTTTTCAGTACCAAAACTTACAATATTTACTGCACCTTGTCCATTTTGCTTACCAAAAAATCGTAATACAAAAAAGAACGTGTCCAAAACAAATAATATTTTTAGCATTAAACTATTATCATAAGATAAATTTATTATAAAATTCCAACAAAGATTTAACTTCAAGTTAAGGTCATTGAAAGGTATTAACTGTGAGTGCAATTACTAAAAATCAAAGAAATCACACATTATGGCAACATTAACAACTACAACAACCTCCTTTCCCATACCTAATCTAATACACAAATGCATGCAGTCTAGCAATCGTATAAAAAAGGCCAAACAGCTTCTGAATAAGCATACTGGAGTTATTAGTTAAAATGTCTGCCTACTGATCATTTTATAAATTACTTACATTCTACATTTCCTCCCATAATGAACATATTTTTAAGCTTCTTAGGAAATGTTGGATCCAATTTCACTGCCAAAGCTAGATTAGTCAAAGGACCAGTGGCAACTAGAGAAATCTACAAAACATAAACAAAACACTACTCCATCTCTTTACATGTTACTCCAATGAAAACAAACCAAGAGACCCCAGATCACATTTTTCTAAGTGGCTTGTTTTAAACATTTGTTTACAGTTCTGTTAAAGCAGTGTTTCCCAAACTTGGGACGCCGCTTGTTTAGGGAAAGCCCCTGGCAGGCCAGGCTGGTTTGTTTACCTGCCGCGTCTGCAAGTCCGGCCGAGCGTGGCTCGCACTGGCCGCAGTTCACTGCTCCAGGCCAATGGGAGCCGCTGGAAGCGGCGCGGGCCGAGGGACGTGGCCAGTGGGAGCTGCGATCAGCCGGACCTGCGGACGCGGCAGGTAAACAAACTGGCCCGGCCCGCCAGGGGCTTTCCCTAACCAAGCGGCATCCCAAGTTTGGGAAACACTGTGTTAAAGCAACACTCTGTGACTTCATCTATTGGTGGATTACTTCTCCCACTTGACAGAAAGATTAGCTATGTTGGGGTTCTTTTGGAACGCACACTGCAGATGTCTGGGAATCCCAGAGAAATCACGTACTACTTTTTTTCATCTGTAGTTGTTCAAGACATTACGGTCTTTTCTTGCTTTTATTGGAATACTGCCATAAAAACTCCAACAGGAGCTATCTATAAAGACTCAGAAGCAGCAGCTAGTCCAGAATGAGGCTGTTCATCTGCTAGGTGTAGTGAGTTGGTATGAGCACACAAAGAAAATTAATATTTTAATTTTTCTATAAATTTGAGAAGACTGTTAGAATGAGAGACCTGGAAAATCAAGTCATCAGTTTAGCTATTGAACAGTTACACCATCGGTGAAGACAGACACTTCACTATGCCATTCCACCAATGTGCCACAACTCTGACCACCTTTAAAGGTAAGATATTGTTCACAGACTCCATGTCCATTCAATCCTTGGTCTCTGCTGGAACTATTATCTATCTTGACAATCACTATCGAGTCCAGGGGTGGCTTTTGTGATTTGTCTACTTGTCCATAGGGAATTGGACTGAGCACCTGATCCATTTCATATGGATCAAACACCCATCAAACAGTAATAGCTTTCAAGCACTACCAACGAGGCTTATAATCTGAATTTGCAATAAAGATGAAACACACTATGTCCTATCTTCAGTCCCTCCAAGTCATGCAATCTGCCATAAGGAAAACTATGGTATAGAAACACTGAGGCCCCAAAATGAAGTACCATGATAGTTTGTGGCTCTTAGCTCTGTAGGGATGTAAAAATTCTAAAGAAGATAAAAAAAACCTGATAAATTAAACAAAGGCATAGAGGGTCTTAGTTATTATGAAAGATTGATATCTTGTGCCTACACAGTAGAAGTTGAGAAAGAGAAGGTAGTAGGAAATCTTATTGCAATATATACCTAAAAGAGGATCACAAAGACATGAGCAAGGACATGTTAGAGGTAAGCAGCAAACAAACATATGGATTCTCCTAAATATTAAATAAAGATTTTATTCCTCTGGGAGAAAGGGGGATGGTAAATCAGTGTCTCAAATTCTTTGCCTTGAGAATTACCTGACTAAAGGGACAATTACTTGGACACCAGTGACTTGGGACTAGATGTTTAATTATGGTTATTCATGTACAGGGTTAAACTGAATGCCAAATTTCAGTCTGAGAAACAATTTCTTCCAGCCCCAGTGTACAATGCCATGGACTACCAGGAGAAGGTAGGCGGGTCACCTTCCACTGAAGACTGAACCTGGATCCTCCATTAGGATTAGACAGGCAAAACAATTTCATATAATTGCAAGGCATTAGCATAAACAGACTTCGGTCCTGCTTGCTGTCCTTTGTTACTACATAAAAAAATGATATAAAGAACATTCTCACCTGACCAGGCTTCTCATTAACAATTCTTAACATTGCAATCACAGCATGTTCTTTCTGTAGATGGTCTAATCCTGGAGCATTCGAAACAGGAACATCACCCAAACCATCTCTTCCATGAAAGAAAGCCCCTTCCACAGGACCACCAAGTAAGGGAGCAGAAGCACCTTGATAAACTGGAATCTAAACAAAATGTAAGTTGCAAAAACAGACTGAATACAGCATGGCTGCACATCACCTAAAGGCATCTTGCCTCTATTTAAATTTATATTATCCCAGTACTGCCACCAACACTGTTTTATTTACAGTATTAACCCTGTTGTTACATAAATACACAATCTATTGTAAGGAGCAGATAATGTTTGTGTTTGGAGCAAGTCTCAGGAGTGCTTAATTATTATTCATGGTGTCTTCTTGTTACTGATTGAGTCCCCCTCCCTCCCCCATGGTTACCAGCTCCTCCCCCTGCCCCCCCCCCCTGGTTCACCCGAGCCCCTCCAGCCTCAGAGCGCCGGGCAGGCGGCGCCCCCCCCCCAGCCACGAAGCACCAGGCAGGTGGGTGGGCTGTGTGCAGCCCCAGCCAGGAGCCACCCGAAGTCCCAGCCCCAGAAGGCTCCCTGGAAGAGGAGCAGCCTGCCTGGGCTGGGGCCAAGGGCAAGCAGGAGGGGCCTCAGGGTAGAGTGTGGGCAGGGCCACGTGGGGCTGTTTGGGGAGTCACAGCCTTCCCCAGCCTATACTACCCGCCATCCATGACATCAACCATGAATGGGTTTACAAGAAAGGTGAAGCAGGATCTCAGCAAGTCTTCAAACCTATCCTGAAAGTCATCAAGCAGTCCTTGTAATTTACCTTTGTATTCCTCGAGTTTGTGATCTTCAACTTTGATTTCAGGAAATGTGTTTACCCTACTCTTGAAATAGGGAAAGTGGTTGAAGTCTCTTGACACTATGTCTCTTTTCAGAAACTTTAACTTGTTCTGGAAGCTGAAGATGCTCTGAGGTCAGAAATAATCTTATCCTTCCCTTGGATTGCCAAATTGAGAGTTTGCAGATGCTGCATAATATCAGTGAAAAACATCAGATCCTGCATCCATTGCTCATCTTTCAGTTGTGGATAGGACTTTTCCTTTTCTTCAATGAAAGCACTGATAGGCTCCAACAGTTCCACAAACCTATTTAAGACATTGCTGGTTGATAACCACCTCACAATACAGTAGAAAGAGACATTGTTGGGTTTGTCTTCAAGATCCAGCTCTTCAATGAAATTTTTGAATGTCAATGAGTCTTCCCATTTGAGCGGATGAAATTGACAGTTTCTAGGACTATTTTTGTAACACTTTCATACTTGACGTATCTGCCTGTGAGATGTTCGTGATGGATGATGCAATGAACAGGGAGGAACTCTGGAAATTTGGGATTGCTTTTCAAGAGTCCGATAAGACCTACTTTTTTCCCCACCATTGCAGGTGGGGAAAATCATCCATTGCAACACTGACAAGTTTATCCAGTGGTACATCGGCATTTATCAATGCTTCGTCAAGTGCATTCTTTATGTCAACAACACGGGTTGTTTCTTTTAGCACCATTAAGTCCAATATTTTTTCTTTCACAATTAAATCTGTGGAAACATAGCAAATAAATATCGCTAGTTGTGGTTTATCTTGAATATCTGTGGATTCAGCGACAGCTAGGCTGAATGCTTGAGAATTCTTTAGATCGTTTTGCATGTTGTTTGCAACATCATCACTGATCTGGGAGATCTGCCTCTCCATACTGTGGTGTGAAATTGGAATTTGCTGCATTAGTCACTGAAGTTTTGTGTTCCTTGGATCTAAAATTGCAACCACTTCTGCAATATTTTTCTTAAATTCTCCATCACAACATGGATGTTTAGCATGAGCAATATTCCATGTCATAACAAAACTAGCTTCAGTCGTTGTGTCAGCTTCCTTATTGAACGCAGAAAGTAGTGTCTGTTGACTGTTGAGGCATAATTTTAATGTGGTTAGCTTGTTTTTCCTTAATTCTGATCCAGGAGGGTACTTAGACGAAAAGTTATTGTGAGTAAGTTTAGTAATTGTCCACATGAATTCCACTCTTAGAGACTAACAATCAGTTATAAATTGCCTGGAGGTGGGTATTAGGAGTCCTACTTAAATGGCTATAAGACAACCTTAACAAAACCAACATCTGATGTGGAAGCCCTTACTAAGCAATAGTGTCTTGTAAATGTGTGGTTTAAGCTCCACATAACTGCTCCTCAAATATCGTGGAATGAGCTTTAGTCTGGCTAGATGGATCTATCCTGGCTAATTCATAATATGCCCTTAAATATCTGGAGACCCACTTAATCAGGTTTTGGAAAGAAAACCACGAGATGAAAGGACTGGCTCGTATGGAACTCTGAGACAATCTGGGGAGAAACTTGGAGTGAGGTCTAAAAATGACCCTGTCCTTACACAATACTGTATATAGACAATATGTCAGAAGGGCCTGAACCTCCCCTTCCCTGCGAGCTGATGTAATGGCCACCAGAAAGGCAGTCTTCATCGACTGGTGGGGAACAAGTTGCTGAGGGTTCAAAGTGGGGACCCATCAACCATGCTAATAAATATTATATTGCTATACTATATTGAGGTCCCAAAAAGGGAGGGGGGCTCCTGCATTGGGGGAAAAACATGTGAGGCCTTTAGGAATCTTGCTACTGTAGAGTGGGAAAACACAGTATTACCCAGGAGTGAGGGATGATGTACAGACATTGCTGCTACATGGACCTTTATGACCTGATGTAAAGTCTAGACTGTTTCAGGGCTAGCAAATTCTCCACTATTGCTGAAACTAAAGAGGTCAAAGAAGACAACTACCACTGGCATCCCAAGTAGAAAACCTCTTCCATTTAGCCTTATAAGTAAGGTTGAAGGTTTCCCTGCTTTGAAGCAGAATGTTCTGAATCTCAGCTGAACAGTTTCTTTCAGTAGATATAAACCTCACAACATCTAGGCCGGGGTGGGCAAACTTCTTGGCCTGAGGGCCACATCAGGGTATGGAAATTGTATGGCGGGCCATGAATGCTCACAAAATGGGAGGTATGAGTGTGGGGGGGTGACTAGGGGTGAGGGCTCTGGGTGCAGAAGGGGGATCCAGGCTGGGACCGAGGGGTTCAGAGGGTGGGAAGGGGATCAGGGCTGTGGCAGGGGATTGGAGCACGAGGGGGGCTGATGGGTGCAAACTCTGGGCAACGCTTACTGCAAGCAGCTGCCGGAAGCATGTCCCCCCTCCATGGGTGCCGCTAGGCGGCTCTGTGCGCTGCCCCGTCCGCAGGCGCCGCCCCCGCAGCTCCCATTGGCCACGGTTCCTGGCCAATGTGAGCTGCAGGGGTGGTGCCTGCGGATGGGGCAGCGCGCAGAGCCGCCTGGCCACACCTCCGTGTACTACGTAGGGGCCGGAAGGGTTCATGCTGGCTGCTTCCTGGAAGCCATGCAGAGCGGGGCAAGCACCCGACCCCACTCTCCGGCTGGAGCAGTGCAAACCCCCAACCCCGCTCTCTGGCGGGAGCTGAGGGCCGGATTAAGTGGTTTGATGGGCCAAATGTGGCCTGTGGGCCATAGTTTGCCCACCCCTGATCTAGGCTGTCAGGTGTAAAAATACTGGATCCAGGTGCAAGATCTGACAATTCTGGAAGATTGTCAGGCAGAGCAGGTAAGGTGATAAGTGGCTGCAATGAAAGTTTCATGAAATCCAAATACCAGAACTGCTTGGCCCATACTGGGGCTATCATAACAACACTTCATCCTGCCTCAGTATCCTGGGTATCATAGGGATTGGCAGAAAGGCATACTTCAACCCTGGCATCCAAGGGATGAGAAAGGCATCGGTCAGGGAGCTTTAGCTTGCACCCCTTCTGGAACAGAAGAATGTCTAACACTTGTTCTGGTCTGTTGCTACTTTTGGGAATCCCCATTTACAAAAGATGTTCTGTAAGACTGTCTCTTTGAGAGTACACTTGTTGTCAGGGAATTGCCTGCTGAGTTGATCTGTCAAGGTGTTCAAAAGGCTGAAAAGGTGCACAGTCACACACGTAACTTGGTTCAGAATGTACCTATTCCGTAGTCCTATGGCTTCCTGACAGAGTGAGAATGATCTTGTTCCCCATTGCATGCTGACATAATCCACAGCTGTGGTGTTGTCTGTCAACACTTGTATTAAGGATTCCTAAAGAAGAGGCAGGAATGCTTTGCATACCAAGCTGACTCTGAGCTCTAACACATATATATGGGAGTAAGCTTCCTGAGGGAACCACAAGTCCTGAATTTGAAGGTCATAATCTAGATCAGTGGTGGGCAACCTCCGGCCCGTAAGCGTAATCCGCTGGCGGGCCGTGAGACAGTGTTTACATTGACCGTCCGCAGGCACGGCCACCCGCAGCTCAAGGGAAGATCCAAGATAGGCCATCAACCTCCTTTTTTCTTTGGGATCAAAAAGTAATGGGAGTAAAAAGCCACCTCCTGCATTGCTCCCGGCTGTAAAAGGGAGCGTACTCCCCATTCTGATGGTCTTTCACGAGAAGGTTCCCTGAAAAGAGCCAGGAAAGAAGGCAGTAGGAGGGTGGGGAGAAGGATGGGATTGAAACTGAATTGGGTGCCCCTTGGTTACCATCTCTGAGACCCATAAAGCCAAGGTAACCTCAGCTCAAATTTCTCCAAAACAAAAGAGGGAGTTGCCAAGGGAGAGGTGTAGAACAAAAAAGGTTCTCTGATCATCCTATCAGTTTCTCAACTTTGCATCGCATCTGCTGCCTGGTGGTACCCCAAGACTGTGGGGCAGCAGAGGAGGCAGAGGGTTGTCTCCAGTGGAATATCTGTCTCTTCATTGGCAGTTTTGAAGTACAATGTGGCTGACTGTAAAACTGAACTGAGGTATGCTGTCTATAGGATGTTGATGTGGCTGCTTCCTTCTTGGGTTGGAACTCAAAGTCCTAAAGAGAGCAGAGTTGGCCTTGAATCTTTTGGCGACCACAGGGCTTCACCAATGCTGTTGTTGAAAAGCTCATTACCCTCAAATGGGAGGTTCTTGCTTGTTGCCTGGAGCTTCCTGGGGATCCTTGAAGACTGAAGCCACAAAGATCTCCTCCTGGCTATTGCAGTAGCTATTGTGTGCACTGTGGTGTCAGACATGTCCAGCAAATGGATTCTTTGCTTCAGTCTTCACGGCTGAGGATGTTAGGGAGATTCCCAAACCTGAGCCGGCTTTTGTAGGTGACAAATCTGAGGAATTGTCACAGATTGAAGTGTCACTAGAGGTGGTTTTGGAATTAATTGATAAACTTATCATTAACAAGTCACCGGGACCAGATGGCATTCACCCAAGAGTTCTGAAAGAACTCAAATATGAAGTTGCGGAACTATTAACTAAGGTTTGTAACCTGTCCTTTAAATCGGCTTCTGTACCCAATGACTGGAAGTTAGCTAATGTAACGCCAATATTTAAAAAGGGCTCTAGAGGTGATCCCAGCAATTACAGACCGGTAAGTCTAACGTCGGTACCGGGAAAATTAGTTGAAACAATAGTTAAGAATAAAATTGTCAGACACATAGAAAAATAAACTGTTGAGCAATAGTCAACATGGTTTCTGTAAAGGGAAATCGTGTCTTACTAATCTATTAGAGTTCTTTGAAGGGGTCAAACAAACATGTGGACAAGGGGGATCCAGTGGACATAGTGTACTTAGATTTCCAGAAAGCCTTTGAGAAGGTCCCTCACCAAAGGCTCTTATGTAAATTAAGCTGTCATGGGATAAAAGGGAAGGTCCTTTCATGGATTGAGAACTGGTTAAAAGACAGGGAACAAAGGGTAGGAATTAATGGTAAATTCTCAGAATGGAGAGGGGTAACTAGCGGTGTTCCCCAAGGGTCAGTCCTCGGACCGATCCTATTCAACTTATTCATAAATGATCTGGAGAAAGGGGTAAACAATGAGGTGGCAAAGTTTGCAGATGATACTAAACTGCTCAAGATAGTTAAGACCAAAGCAGACTGTGAAGAACTTCAAAAAGATGTCACAAAACTAAGTGATTGGGCAACAAAATGGCAAATGAAATTTAATGTGGATAAATGTAAAGTAATGCACATTGGAAAAATAACCCCAACTATACATATAATATGATGGGGGCTAATTTAGCTACAACAAGTCAGGAAAAAGATCTTGGAGTCATCGTGGATAGTTCTCTGAAGATGTCCACACAGTGTGCAGAGGCGGTCAAAAAAGCAAACAGGATGTTAGGAATCATTAAAAAGGGGATAGAGAATAAGACGGAGAATATATTATTGCCCTTATATAAATCAATGGTACGCCCGCATCTTGAATACTGCGTACAGATGTGGTCTCCTCATCTCAAAAAAGATATACTGGCACTAGAAAAGGTTCAGAAAAGGGCAACTAAAATGATTAGGGGTTTGGAACGGGTCCCATATGAGGAGAGATTAAAGAGGCTAGGACTCTTCAGCTTGGAAAAGAGGAGACTAAGGAGGAATATGATAGAGGTATTAAAATCATGAGTGATGTGGAGAAAGTGGATAAGGAAAAGTTATTTACTTATTCCCATAATACAAGAACTAGGGGTCACCAAATGAAATTAATAGGCAGCAGGTTTAAAACAAATAGAAGGAAGTTCTTCTTCACGCAGCGCACAGTCAACTTGTGGAACTCCTTACCTGAGGAGATTGTGAAGGCTAGGACTATAACAGTGTTTAAAAGAGACCTGGAAAAATTCAGGGTGGTTAAGTCCATTAATGGCTATTAGCCAGGATGGGTAAGGAATGGTGTCCCTAGACTCTGTTTGTCAGAGGGTGGAGATGGATGGCAGGAGAGAGATCACTTGATCATTGCCTGTTAGGTTCACTCCCTCTGGGGCACCTGGCATTGGCTACTGTCGGTAGACAGGATACTGGGCTAGATGAACCTTTGGTCTGACCCGGTACGGCCGTTCTTATGTTATAGACTGTAGAGAAGTACAGGCAGTCACCTGAAAACTTTAATGGCAACGGCACATCTCCTCTTGCTGCTCATTGGGCAATTATAAATTGAGACAATCGGTTCCCGTTTAAAAAGTCATATTTTGAAAGGCAGGCTGGATAGACAGCCACCTTCCTCTGGAGCATAGCTGTTAGATACACCTTGTAGATGAATAGATCGAGCGTTTTTGGATCCTTTTCTCTTGGCATAGATTTAAAAGGTCCATGCTGTTTTGTTCTCTCCTGTAGCGCTGCCACTAGAAAAGAACCCAGTGTTGGATGTAAACAGAAAATCAAATATGCAGCAGGAACCTGGTGCCCACTGTCTGCTCTTTTTGACCTGGACGGGATGGATACAGATGTATGTCAGATGGCTTGTGCAGGCTCTAGTAGACTTTCATTAATGGAAATGCTCATGGTGAGCATCCCTATTGAAGAAGGATCCAGAATGACCAAGTTTCTTATCAGAAGGGTAGCCGTATTTGTTGCTTTTTACAGATCCAGACTAAGAGTCCTGTGGCACCTTATAGACTAACAGATGTATTGGAGCATAAGCTTTCGTGGGTGAATACCCACTTCGTCAGATGTCTGATGAAGTGAGTATTCACCCATGAAAGCTTATGCTCCAATACATCTGTTAGTCTATAAGGTGCCACAGGACTCTTTGTTGCAAGTTTCTTATGATTTTCTTGGACCAATTCCAGAGGTATGTCTCAGCAATTTGGAATGACTTCAATCAAAGCAATTTAAATCACAATTTAAATCAGCAAGCTGGAAACACTAATTTAAATAATTGGTTTTAATCTTATTTTGCTTTTGTAATTTTTAGTTATTTTGCTAAAGAATGGTTGACTCTCATTGGTTGGTAACCATTAAAACATGTTGATTTGGAACGAAATACAGCCTTTACACTAAATTTGGTACTACTTTTTGCTAACCAGGAGGCTATAATACATACACATACACACGCACACACACACTTACTTACTTGAGCAACAAGTAATCTTAATTTACATTTATTCAGATTCTTATTGTTTACATTTTTCTTATGTTAAGAAATGCCATTCATCTTTTTTCTTTACTAGATGATGAATCAGTTTTTACTTGTGAACTGTGTCAATTTGAATGGAAATTCAAATTCCATTAAAAATGCACAAAACAGCATTTTAAATTATTTTATTAAGAAAACTAACTTAAATGTGCTGCATATGTGAGGAAAAAAAGTAAATTTATCAAAACATGTTTTACATTTATAACTGATTTATTAAATGAAGTATTATCTGTAGCTAGTGAATTGAACCAATTGCTTCCAACTAAAAATGCTTCCATGTCTCTCAAGATTTTAGAACTCATCCTCCCATACCTATGCTAGCTGCCACAGGAAGTAAGAAGGAGCTGACAGACAATTGGGCCTACTCCTTTTATGCCCATTAAGGGGGAGATGGAAGGGGGCACAAGGGCACCCGAGGCACAGCATGGTCCCAATGAAAACTGCTGGCCAAAAGAATCCAAATCTCACGTGCATGGATGCATGCATACAGTGTATGGTATCCATGTGGACAATCACTTGAAGAAGCAATATTACAGGATCAATTCCAAAGTATATCCTAGGAGTGATCAAATCAGTGGCACTAAAATTGCAGAGCCTTTATGAAAAGGGCAGAAATTTCACATCAGCCAGGAAAAATATATATACCGATAGGATTTTTTTTTTTTAAAGGATCTAGGAATCTACTATTACTATTCCTGGGATTGATATCGTGAGACAATAAACAAGACAAAAATTACCCTACATCAGCAAAGAAATTATTTATGGAGCAGAAACTATAAAAGGTGACCCTAGCCTATACGAGTTGATGATTTTTAAGCAAGACCTGACACAAAGATAAACCCATTCACATACATTTAAGAAACTGATTACCTCAAGCCTTTTACAAACTTGTAGCACACGGAGTACATTTTTGCAGACGTTTTCCAACACTGTGTTTCCATAACAGCAAGTAATTCCCAGGATTTCAACACTGGGAGATGCCAGCGCCATCATTATGGCTTGAGCATCATCAACTCCACAATCAACATCAATCAACATCAACTTTGTCATTTTTGAAATACCTACGAAAAAGTTACAAGCAGATTAGACAACTAACCTAATAATTAAGATTAAGATACAGTAGGTCATGTGGAGAAAACATATTCTAAAGATATGGCTACAGTTTAACTGGGTTTCAGTTCAAACACTGTAGGTTATTTGCCAAAACCTTTTTCTACAGACTTTTGTTTTATTTCAGTTTACAGCTGACTTTTTTTGTAATGTTTTATGTAACATAAAATTCACCCACCTCTATTTTAAAAGAAAATGTCAAGAATCACTGATTTGTAAATCCACAGGAACCTAAAAATGAGTGGTTACCTAACTGGGACTTTTGAGAAGTTTTCATATGTTAACTACAACATTTGTGCAGTGATTTAAAAAAAAATATCAAATGTACATGTTTATATATACCCAATTAAAATAATTGGGGCTATTGTAAATTACCACCGAATACCAGTTTATATTAAAATTGAAATGATTTCTTAATCTCTATGAAAAAGCTAATAGTTATTTACACGCCTTGTGACAGTCAAGTAAATTATAATCTGGGAGGTAGAGGCAATACCCACATAGAGGGGAGGAAAAAGCATCTGAAACCAGCACACAATTATAGGAGCTGGGCCACAACTTTAACACTTACCTTCCTCAAAGCTTCCTTCCCAATTAGAAAATAGTTTATGGTCGTCTCCACTGCAATTATCTTAAATGAGATGAGGAAATATTATTCATACTCAGTAGAACTGCAACCATTTTCTGCTAACATAAATTCTTGTACCTTCATAGGTACTGACTTCTAGTTTTCACTGGAGGTGCTCCACCCCCTCGCCCCTCCCTGCTCTACACCCTCACAGAAACCCTTCCCTGAGCCTCCAAACAGCTGTTTGATGGTGGCTGCCGATCAGCTATTTGGTGGTGTTGCCGAACAGCTGTTTGGTGGCACCCCCAATTAGCTCATTGGGGGCACCACCGAACAGCTGTGGCAAATGGGTACTGAGCACCCGCTATTTTTTTTTCTGTGAGTGCTCCAGCCCCAGAGCACCCACGGAGTCGACGCTTAATGACTGTCAAATCTTGTTGACATTAATGATAGGTTACCCCATTTGCTTTCTGTGACTTAGTTTGTCTCTGAAGTTCAAAGTGCACCTAGGGACATCTCCCTTTTAATTGATTCTGAGTCAACGAAGTCCCAAGCCCCTCTCCTGGCTCTCTCTCGCCTTTATCTCACATAATCTGATGCAGTGCTCTCAACAACACTGCATTAGCTACACTTTCCTGAGAAAGTTCTCAGTTTTCATCTTTTGGATCCATCATTAGATTTGCTCCAATACTTTTGGAGAAAAATTGCTATTAGAAATGTGTGTTGACACACTCCTCAATCATACACCCCCCCAGGCGTTCCTGAGACAGCTGTATTTAGTTGTTTTTCCCTCTACCTTCAGCTCTAGCAAGGTGCACAGTTCTCCTTACTTGGGCCCATTTGAGAAGTCTTTTGGCAGAGAAGACTAAATTATTTTTTTGTCTGTGTGTCCCAGCCCTATAGCCACCCAACTAATAACAATACATTGCTCTGATTGAGCAATAATGGGAGAGTAATCTCCCAAAACAGATACTGCCAGATGCCCTCCCACAGACTACTCTGAACCCCACCCAGATCCTCTCACTGCCCAGTGCCCCCTAGCTGTAGACCCCCCACAGCCCTCCCACAACTGCACAGTGCCCTGCCCCTCCCCGCCCAGAGCCCCCCCCCACAGATTCCCTCACTGCCCAGTGCCCCCCACCGCCCCACTGCCACAACTGCACAGTACCCCACCCAGACCCCTGCACACTTCCCAGCGCCCCAACACACACAGATCTCCCCACCCCCCACTGCACAGCACCCCCCCAGACCCACTAGAGGCCTACTCTCCCACACCCTAACCCCCAGCCACAATACCCGGCCCTGATGGGAGGTGACTGTGTCTGCCAGGCTCAGCCGGCAGCGCAGCCAGAGCTTGTCCTGGGGCAGGATAACTCCGGCCCCTTGGGGGTGCAATCAGCCAGGCTGGAGCAGGAGCAGAGCCTACCCGGGCCAGGCTCCCTCAGGACCCACATGCCTGGCAGGACCCAGCTGAGCCTCCCACACTCTCCCCCTCCCCCAGCCGTCCTCTGTGACTGGCTGAGACTGGCCCAGCCTCTGCACCAATCCCAGGTGGCTCTTTCCCTGGGGAGGCAGGTGGGGCCCCACAGGTCCCAGGCAGTGGCAGTGGAGACAGCTCAGAGCTGGAGCAGTGCTGGGGAGTGGGGCATATCCCTGGGACATGACTCCTGAAATCCCACCCACACCCATTGGCCCCGTGGCCAGCAGCCCTGCCGAGCCCACATGGTGGCCCCCAGCAGGGTGATGAGCCCCCTACAGCAGCGGCATAGCCAGGTTCTAACATCAGGGATTTCTTGTATTATGTATAGTGAGTGTATTATATAAAAATCAGGTAGTAGGGTTTACAATGTTCTAACAAGAGATTATGCTATTATCATTATCCAGTCAACTTGCACACTACTATTTTGAATTAGTGATAATTCACAGAGAAAGAAAGAAGAAAGCTGAATTTAGAGAATAATTATTAACCAGATTCTTGGTTATTCACCAGCCACTTTGCTCCAGTCCATAGCACAAAGCACCATAAACCCAGTAGAATCTGGCCAAAAGAATATTCACCTCAAATTGTCATCTGCTACACTCCCCCCCCCCCCCATTCCCAGTCACCACTATTCAGCAGGGCCGCCCAGAGGGGGGGGGGGTAAGGGGGGCAATTTGCCCCAGGCCCGGAGTATGTCAGAGACTCCCCCCACTTCCGTCTTTCCCCATCCCATCCCCCGGCGTCCTGGATGCGGCACGCTGAGGCTCCGGTAGAGGGGGTAAGCGGCATGGTAAGGGAGGGGCCGGACAACCCCCTGACCCCATCCCCCCACAGCCATGACCCCCAGCTCCGAGCCCAGCCCCTCTGAGCCGAGCCCCCCTGACCCTTCCCCCCCCATAGCCCAGACCCCCAGCTCCCAGCCCAGCCCCTCTGAGCCGGACACCTCCAGACCCCATCCATCCCCTCCACAGCCCAAACCCCCAGCTCGGAGCCCAGCCCCTTTGAGCCGGCCAACCCCCTGACCCCATCCCCCCACATTCCTGAGCCCAGCTCCTGTGAGCCGGGCACCCCCAAACCCAGAGCCCAGCTCCCCCCGCAGCCCTGGGCAACAGCAGCACCACCCCCAGGCAGCGACAGCCCATTGGCACCAACCATCACCATCACCCAGCGACAGCCCATTATGTAATTGCAAATGTCTACATCCCATTAAAGCATTTAATGTTTTCAAATACTGGATTTAGTGTATTTTCAAATTTTTACAAATTAATTTTTGAATGTATTTCACTGGTTATTTTTTACATTTCCAAATACATGTTACTATAGTATTTCAACTTTTTTTTATGGAAGGGGCCCCAAAAATTGCTTTGCTTTGTAATAATTGGAAAATACACTAAATACATTATTTAAAAACATTAAATGGTTTAATGGTATGTATACCAGCTGCTTAGCTGCAGCGCGCCAGGGCTGCTCCCGGACACGGCGCACTGAGACGCCGGGGGATGGGGGAAGACGGATGCAGGGGGAGCCTCCGACATATTCATGGCGGCCCCTGCGGGGCCCCCGGGGCCTGGGGCAAATTGCACCACTTCCCCCCCCCCCTCTGGGCGGCCCTGAGACATTCTCTCACCTAGACCTAGACCAGTTTCAACAGATTTAAAATTTTTATTAAGATGATGTTAAAAAAAAAAAAAAAGTGAACAGAGTTTGAGCATAGAAGTTTCTGGTTATCAGGGAATACTGTACAGATTACACTGGTCTACAATTTTTGAGAAGTCGTCTGGTTCAGAGATAAAATGTGCTATTTATTATGTATTTTGATGTGCTGAATTCAAATATGACAATTAAAACAACTGATTGGCTACTGTTTCTAAGATATTTAAGTTTTTACATTTGATGTCTATGTATATTGTGTAGATAGTAGAGTTTTAATCATAAATTGTAAATCTAGGTCTTTTCATGTGTTTATGGTTGCTTTACATGATAATATTTCACCTGTCCTGTTTATATAACACTTTAAAAATCAGCAAAAGGGTTATATAAATCAAATTTATTATGAAACAAAAGGCAAAAATCTATTATGTACATAGTTTAGTCCTATTCAGTGTCTACTCGGTGCTTCTTGGCTTGTCTCTTGTATTCATTAAATGGAGCATCTCTTGTCACTGTCCAGCAATAGTCTGCAAGCACTGATGGGCTCCATTTGCCCTGATAGCGTTTCTCCATTGTTGCAATGTCCTGGTGAAATCGCTCGCCGTGCTCATCGCTCATTGCTCCGCAGTTCGGTGGAAAAAAATCTAGATGAGAGTGCAAAAAATGTATCTTTAGTGACATGTTGCAACCAAGGCTTTTGTATGCCTTGAGGAGGTTTTCCACCAACAACCTGTAGTTGTCTGCCTTGTTGTTTCCGAGAAAATTTATTGCCACTAACTGGAAGGCTTTCCATGCCGTCTTTTCCTTGCCACGCAGTGCATGGTCAAATGCATCATCTTGAAGAAGTTCACGAATCTGAGGACCAACAAAGACACCTTCCTTTATCTTAGCTTCACTTAACCTTGGAAATTTTCCACAGAGGTATTTGAAAGCTGCTTGTGTTTTGTCAATGGCCTTGACAAAGTTCTTCATCAGACCCAGCTTGATGTGTAAGGGTGGTAACAAAATCTTCCTTGATTCAACAAATGGTGGATGCTGAACACTTTTCTTCCCAGGCTCCAATGACTGTCGGAGTGGCCAATCTTTCTTGATGTAGTGGGAATCTCTTGCACGACTATCCCATTCGCAGAGAAAACAGCAGTACTTTGTGTATCCAGTCTGCAGACCAAGCAAGAGAGCAACAACCTTCAAATCGCCACAAAGCTGCCACTGATGTTGGTCATTGTTTATGCACCTCAAAAGTTGTTTCATGTTGTCATAGGTTTCCTTCATATGGACTGCATGACCAACTGGAATTGATGGCAAAACATTGCAATTATGCAGTAAAACAGCTTTAAGACTCATCTTCGATGAATCAATGAACAGTCTCCACTCATCTGGATCGTGAACGATGTTGAGGGCTGCCATCACACCATCGATGTTGTTGCAGGCTACAAGATCACCTTCCATGAAGAAGAATGGGACAAGATCCTTTTGACGGTCACGGAAGATGGAAACCCTAACATCACCTGCCAGGAGATTCCACTGCTGTAGTCTGGAGCCCAACAGCTCTGCCTTACTCTTGGGTAGTTCCAAATCCCTGACAAGGTCATTCAGTTCACCTTGTGTTATGAGGTGTGGTTCAGAGGAGGAGGATGGGAGAAAATGTGGGTCCTGTGACATTGATGGTTCAGGACCAGAAGTTTCATCCTCTTCCTCATCTGACTCAAGTGAGAATGATTCTGGCGCATCAGGAACCGGCAGTCCTTCTCCGTGGGGTACTGGGCGTATAGCTGATGGAATGTTTGGATAATGCACAGTCCACTTTTTCTTCTTTGACACACCTTTCCCAACTGGAGGCACCATGCAGAAGTAACAATTGCTGGTATGATCTGTTGGCTCTCTCCAAATCATTGGCACTGCAAAAGGCATAGATTTCCTTTTCCTGTTCAACCACTGGCGAAGATTTGTTGCACAAGTGTTCCAGCATATGTGTGGGGCCCACCTCTTGTCCTGATCTCCAATTTTGCAGCCAAAATAAAGGTGATAGGCTTTCTTAACCATAGTGGTTATAATGCGCTTTTGTGATGCAAAAGTCACTTCACCACAAACATAGCAGAAGTTATCTGCACTGTTCACACAAGTACGAGGCATCTCTGCTCACTTTGGCTAAACAGAAATGTGTCCCTTTGCAAAATCAAACACTGACAAATAAGAGAGCACAACACTGTATGATTTCTAGAGCTGATATAGGGCAATTTGTTCAGCAGAGTGATGTAAGCTTCGTTATGATTGCATCATCCATGACTTCTAGGAATAACATGATGCAATTCATATCATGTATGACGCAATACCAGCTTCCGATTGCATCATTCATTGTTTTGCCTAAAAAGCAAGTACTGTCCAAACCCAGTCATAGATTTATTCATAGATCCAGTCAAAGATGTATTTTAGTCATTTCTGGTTTAAATTGAGATCCCTTCCCTTTATAACTCACTTATCCTCTGCCATTCCCAAGTCAAGGGTCGTATATACTGACCCAATAGCGTATCTTGAAAACTAGAGCCAATCAACAATTTTAAGCATCATTTTCGTTCTCAGCGACCCAGAATTAGTAAAGTTTGACTACATTTATTTCAGAAGCATTTTGGCTGTAGAGCAGTGCTATCGATGGTGCAAAGTTTGGTTTAAAATCAGGTGGCATAAGGAATACATAATTTGCAATATCCCCGATTGGGGGTAAAAGGTTGATGGGTCAAAGTACAGGCATTGAGATATGAGGGTATGAAGTTCATATACTGGCTATGTACGGGTGGGGAGTATAATGAGTAGATATAATGATGAGGATGGATTGACCCTCATTTGGTGAGATTTAATGTTCAGGGAGTTTATGGTTCCAGTAATTCTCTACAGATTTGTCACCAAGATCAAGGACTGCAGTGAAAAGACAGCAAGGCCTGTGTGCTGGACTTGTGTGTAGAAGCTGATTCACAAATATTCAGTGTAGTGTATTATATGGTGTCATCTTACATCCATCCCAAGGGCAAAAAATCTTCTGAAACAATGAAGGCTTGGGCTCATAACCAGTGGCTGCAGAACTTTTGGATGCGCAAGTCCACATTTCTGCATCTGTGTGCAAAACTCACCAAAATAAAAGCTGCACTGACAATGGAAAAGAAAAAAAAATTGCACTATGGGGATCTGCAACAACCGATTCTTATTGGTCAATCAGTGGTCTCTCTCCTAAACCAAGGTGGACTGGATTTCTTTAATGTAAGTAGTCACAACATATTGTTAAAGCTCATTTTATGCTCAATGCTGTGTTAAGATCTCTGCAGTCACAGATAATAACGGTCTTCTTGGGGAATCAGGGCACAGTATCCAGTCTGCAAGACACACACACACACACCCCGCTTGAACAAAACCCCATCCCTCCCGTTTTGCAACCATCCCCCAGAGGAAGCAGACCGTGAGTGTTTTCGACCACAAACCCCATCCCTCCCGTTT